TAAGTTAAATGGTAATTTCATTACGAGCAGCAAAACCATATGTAGCTACTTTTCACTAGATTACCTTCTTTCCCTTATTTTGAATTATGGATTTGAATAAATTTAAAGAGGATGAAGGTTGAACTTGTGAAACACGAAACGGCTAACAGTTCATTATATGTGAGAAACAGCACTACTGTCGGTGTCAAAAGTAGAGACCACTCGAAATAAACGTCTATAACTCAGTGAAAAAAAATCGTAAAAATATGAGACCAAATACACTGTGTAATATAAGTATTTCGCTTGCCCAATACGGAGTTTCAAGTTTTTAATTTGATTAGTTTATTTATAATCGCTGTGAGAAGCCGAAAAACCCCCCGATTTTCAGGGTCCGTAAAAGTCGGCAAACTTTGAACCGCTAGCAAACGTACGAAATTTTTTTTTAAAAAATCGTCAATTTTTTCAGAGATTCGTATAACCCCTGAGAAGCCAACCAGGGAAGAAAAAGATCGAAATTGCGATAATTATTCATTTTATTCATAGAAATGTCGACTGCGGCTATTTCGTTGTAGAATTGCCGAGCCGACCTGAAAAAAAAACAATGCATTTTGAGTTCAATGTAAAACACATTCGGTCAATAGTTTTTCAATAAACAATCTCCGTTGATTTTTAAAAAAATCAAGAAAATTTGTCAAAAAAAGTGCTGTTAAAACGATCATAACTCGTTATGGGGTTTATGGGCCCGCTCACCGCCAGTCCCTCAAAATTAAAAACGCATGTGCGCCCGGCTACCTTTTTCAGGGGCGTCGATACCAGTTTCAGCCGTTTGGGCCCTTTGGGGCGCTAATATACTGTACATTGCTACTTTCCCATTAAAACAAAAATACGAACACGAATATTTTTCTTTTTAATAATTGTATCATTAATTATACGTACTAATGGGTTTCATCAATATTAATCATTTGAAACATGTGGCTACAATTAATTATTATTTGTTATTTTTAAATATAAACTCATCCACTGTTCTTAGCATTACCCAGGGTCAACGACGGGGACGTGGCAGTGGTCATGACCCCAAAAATAAATTATTTCCTATATTCGGTCCCAAAATTTTGGAACGAATACTGGAATATCATTCAATTCTTATTCAAAAATTTACTGTCGTAATGAATTTGAAGTTCATTTTGCAGAACTCATTGATACTTGAATGATCGTATTAATGAGTGATAGTGGTTAATAATAATAATAAGAATACGCTAATGAATTCAATCTATGGGCGTGTGACGAAATGAGTTAATTTGTCCTTTAATAACTCATGTTTCACTCCGACCTCGGCTAGTCTCGGTGAGCTCACGGGTGGTTCGCTTAATCGGAGGGATAAGTGAAGGATAGAGGGAGGGTTAACGATATTAAACCGACCGAACTGATGTTGGTAAAATGACTATATATTAACTTTAATTTATACACGGTAGTGTTTAATGGGTCGGTATAACGCGGTTCTTGACTCGACTTTAGGACCTTGACTCGACTTTGTTATTGGTTGGCTGAAGGCCTGAGCTCAGAGATCCGCTCTGTTTCGCTCCTGATCGTACTCTGACGTACTCTGGTGCTTCCCGAGTCGTCCAAACTCGTCAAAGTCCCAAAATGCTTACCTAAGCAATCCCACGGTTTTCTTCACTAATACGGTTTCGTGCATTCGTTTGTATAGAAACCTACACAGTCAAACAGTTCAGCACCCTGAACTGGACCTGTAGAAACCGTGGAACTGCTTACGCTGGTGTCCATGGGACACCGTGGGACTGCTGAGCAATCTTTGGATGAAGGGAATGAGAAACCTCGTTTCCCGTTCCCATCGTCCACCACTTTGGGCATAATAATTATAATTATTAAATAAATCGACGTATTGATCGATCTCAATACGTCACAGGCGAATTCGCCAAATATTGGTATGGTTTTGTACCTTAAAATTTTTTATTTCGTTGAGGCTTTTCACATGGTTTTTCTTATTATTAGGAAGATCCGCAGGGATTTTTTTTTTCAATTTTTTCCAGTTTTGATATGCTGAGTACATCAATTTTTCTATTCCTTGAGTATTTGACGAAATTTTTAGTATCTGTAGTTATCAATTTTTTAATGGAAGATTTCAAAAATTGAAATAGTTAAAATATATTTTCTAAAATCAATTTTGGACAGAAAGGATCGGAGTGCCACTTTAATTTCTCAGTATGTTTTGTAAAAAAGGTCACTTTGGGTAAGGAGAAAAGAAAATCTGCAATCATGGTTGGGGAAGACGGTACAAAGTGCAATTTGGTTCTTTTTGGCATTTTTAAAGCATTTCCGATGGTGTGAGCTAATTGAAACCATACTCAATTGGAAGAACTGAAAATTTCTATCGGAAGCACATGTCAGAAAATGTGGAAAAAATTTACCTCTACTGAAACCAAAAATTTCGTCAAAAAATCAAGAAACAGAAGAATTGACGTAATGAGTAACAAAACTGGAGAAAAAATGAAAAAAAAGGATT